TTCTCATGCCAACACAGTCCAGGTTATTTTTCCTAGAGGACCCAATCCAGCATGCTTAAGCATCCTCCATAACTCCCACATTTATAACGAGCATTCCCCACTGCCAGGAGTGACGCCCAACTTGCCCCAGAGGCCACAGGGACATTAAACAAACACAGATGGAGAAACATAAGCACTGTGTGAAATAGAAATTGTTTCTCCCTATGGCAAAGCCATTGATCATTTTGGTGTGGTGACGGCAGAGAGCAGCAGCAGTTGCTGTTCATTACCCTTTCTTAGTGCACTGGAGCTGGGGGGAAGGATGCAGTTTCCACTGGGAGCTGTGGTTTTTCTCCTTCCTGGCCACTGGGTCTATTCTGCATTAATCACGCTGACATTATTCGGTGGATCTCGCAGGCTTGCACTTGATCATTATGTTGCTAAGCGACTGCTGGGTTCACAGACAGAGCGAGCACTCCTCCCCTAACCTGATAAACACCCCTGCATTACTCTTCTCCCCATTTCTTTTATCAGCTCCATATAAAAGTCAGTAGCCTCTCAAGTGAATTTATAGCACTGCTGTATTTATAGCACCGCGGTCGATACTATCATTATACGCTGACGGCAGAGCATCCCCTGCCAAGCTGCAGGGCTCTCCCGGGCTGGGTTTTCCCATCTCTGTACCTGTGCATATCCAAATTTGGAAAGGGAATTGCGACCAGAGCTTATTACTGGGGCTTTAGTTCTGGGTATCTGGGTCAAATGAGCCACGTATCCAAACATCCTTAACCTTTTCTGTAAGGAAGGATGGGCAAAAATGGAGGAAGCGGTGGTTGGATGTTGTGGCCTGATGACATGGATAGAGCAGATGAAAATCTCTATCACCAGGATGTCCAAAATTTTTAAAGTAAATGATGGCCAGAATTGGGAGTGGGATCTAGAGCTCTGTTCCGGAACCTTCTGATCAAACCCATTGATTATGCTTTTATTAGTACAAAGTAAGCAAGCACATCCTTTCACTTTTTCCTCCTCTTCCTTCTCCTCCCAGTCTCCTTTTCCCTATCCCACGGCTGGTCAGTGCTGCTGAGAAGCAGATGGTTCCCAGCCAAACGTTTCCACGCTCTATTTAAAAATCTTGAAACTCAGTGTCTCCATAAGAACCATGTAAAACTATAAATACACTGTGTAAAATTACTGCTAAAGCAACGTGCAGAGAAAAAGGCAAGTCTAGGGTCGGTTTTTAATGTAATAATTGAGAGAGAAATGCTGCTCAGAACTGTTGAACTATCTCTTCCTAGCCCTCATTTATCAAAAACAGAGAGAGAAGGTATTTTTATGGGTTTCTGTAGCAAGCCCTTACCCAACTACCTACAATTTAATTCACCTCTGTGCTACTCTAACAGGGCAATCGCTGTGAGTGAGCTACAATTAAATGGCTACTGGCTGTGCAAAAGTAACTCCTAGTGATATTAGGATTCCTGTAACTTCATGTATGTCCCAATGAGCAAATCTATATTCGTAATTTCATCAGGATGCTAGTGCTGTGCACATCACCCAAGAACTGTGAACAATGTTCTATTTATAACACCTCCCAATACTTCTCCTTGGCTGAAGGAGATGGACAGGCAGACTCATCTTTTATCACTTTTCCTTTAACAGAGCAAACGAGTTGCTCTGTTAATTTAGCAGAATCCTTTCTTCCCCTGAGCTAAAACTCCTTGCTCCCTTTCTAATTCTACCTAATGGTTATAAAGGAATCAAAAAAGTGTAGGAATTACAGCTTTAAAATTTAAATGTTAGCTTTAATACTTGGAATTTTGGCAAGATGGTATTCCTTGGTCATAATATTTGACAGCTTTGTAAAAAATCTTGTCAGTTGTGCAACTGGGCTAGAAAGGCTGTAATTTATTTCACTTCTTAAAACATGAGGCAGGAGTAGAAGGAGTAAAAACCCCAGCCTTTGTCTGGGAAGCATTTACCATGCATCCATCGCTTTTCTGCAGGCACCTCTGAGAACAGAACTGAAATTTAATGCGGGCAGTTCAGGGCATAAACACACAGAACACACCAAAATGAAATCAGAGCGTTTTCTCCACTGTGACAAATTTTGCTATTGGCCTTTTGCTCCCTGTTTCATGCTCTTTCTCAAGCTCAGAAGTCAATCCTCTCTCATCCACCCCTGGTGATGAGGTGGTGAAGATCAGAGAGAGAGGAAGGTGCCAGCCTTGCTCCAGGGACAGGCAGGAGCTGGGCACAGGCGCTGCCAGGCACCACCTACCAAACCACCGCTGGTTCACACGTAGGACTTCTGATTCTACAACTTCTTCAGTGACATCTTTCTACCTCACTCCTGTTAGGATGAAAAGGAACTGCCTGCAGCACCTTTTAAAACATGCTTCTAATATCTGTGGATAGTTGGCTCACTTCTGCTGTCTCTGATTTACTACTTAGCTTAAAAAAGAAATCCTGAGTAACCTTTGCTGATCATCTGAGTGTCTTCAATTCATCTCAACTAAAAAATAATGTAATCACGTTAGTTTTAAAAACAGAAGGAAACAAAATACAGCCCTGTGACCTTCCATTCCCAATGGGAATTCTGTGGAGGTGTCATTTTCTCCCACAGTCAAAGGGCAGCCAAGAGTCTTGCTGATCTAGCTACTGTCCACTTTTCTTCTTTATTGCCTCATAGTACTTTCAGTACTGTTATAGCCTGAGATCCCCTCTCTAGGTTTGCAAAGATGCCTGTTTGGGTTTACTTTTCAGGAAAGAAATAGGATTTCAGCTACAATGAAATAGCTCTTTGTGTGGTTTGGTTTCCAAACGGAGTATCTCTATTTCATAATGTAATTTGCCAAAGCTGAATTTCAAGAACTAAAAAAGCTGAAGGACAGAAAAGCAACTTAACTTTCTAACGCTGCCTGAGTCACATATTTCTCTAAAATGTAACATATATGGGACTACATTTGCTTACATGAAAGTTTGCTTTCCTCCAATGAAGTGCTATAGTAGTAACCTGGAAATAACTATCAGTTTAAAATATAAAAGATGATAGATAACGTTATACATAGAACCACAGAATGGTTTGGGTTGGAAAGGACCTTAAAATCATCTAGTTCCAACCCCCTGCCACTAGCTTACATTGCCCAAGGCTCTGTCCAACCTGGCCTTGAACACTGCCAGAGATGGAGCATTCACCACTTCCTTGGGCAACCTGTTCCAGTGCCTCAGCACCCTCACAGGAAAGAACTTCTTCCTTATATCTGACCTGAACTTCCCCTGTTTCAGTTTAAACTCATCACCTCTTGTCCTTTCGCTACAGTCCATATGAATCTAGAGGCAACATGGGTTAACATATGGCTTCATATGGTTTAACAAGAAACACAATCAATGTCTGGCAAAAATAGTATTCTTGAAGACATAAGAAATATGAGATGCCAGAGTCATCTGCAAGACAAGACTTATGTAAATTCCAGCTTAGTGCACACGTATTGATTTTATGCTTGCCCGAGGTATTCTCAATTGTAGTGTTCATGTGCTGTGCTAACTTTAAGGACTGTCTTCAGCAAGTCTGTATTGTTTTTCTTGTATGGTTTTCACTGTATTGTTTTTTCATGTATTAAGGCCTTTCTTGTACAGACAACTCAATTTCTACTCTGTTCAGTCAAGTGCCACTGACAGGAATTCCAGAATTCCAGCACTTTTCTTCCACCTCTTCATTCTCTAAATCAAATGATATATATCATATATATATATGTTTGTGTGTATAAGCAAAATATCTCCCTGCCACCAATTTGATGACCTCCATCTTGCAGGAAATGATGTAACTACCTGATGCTGAAGCTTTCGATCACACTGATTTCTGAATGAGCAATCATTTGCAACTAACAGAGCTACCCTTACCCTAAAACCAAGTTATCCTCATGCATGCAAACAAGGGTAGCTTTTCAAAGGCTGAGTTAGTTCGTATCCAGCAGAATAATTGTAATAAAATTTACTTAGATGGTATCTTTTTTGAAAAACAAAGTAATTTTCTGCAAGAAATGCATTTCTATGGAGCAGTCTGGGACAAACAATGTGCAATACTCCAGCAAAAGGTACATTTAACTGCTCTATGTAAGGCCAAACCACATCTCAAAAAGAAATTCCTCAGGTTCTCAATAAAACTAACACAATTACCTTTTCTTTTTTTCTTCACAATCGTGGATTTCATGATATTATGTCCATATCCCCCACAAATGTGACTACACAATTACTTATACATTTACCCAATGGTGTCTGACTACTGGAAGTTGCTTATCACTTAAGTACCTTTCAGAAACCACTTATATGCAGATGTACTGCACTGCACTACCCAGGGTGCTGCTGTTGGGAGAAATAAGCCACCTCCTTGAACCTGCAAACATCAGAGACTGTTCACTAACAAGCATGTGCAATAGAAAGTAGGAACTTAAAACCTGCAATACTAAGCGGTAGAGAAGCTAAATTACTTTTTAGTAAGGACACGAGTAGTGCAAAGTGATTTCAAGGAGTGATTTTCTAAGATAGCTTTATACTTCATGCTAAAGCGGATTAGCACAGGTATCAGCATGAATCAAATGACATCACACAGTGAATATGGATTAAGCCCAGGCAAAACCACTTTTTCTACCTGTTTGAAGTCAAAATAATTTATGGCACTGACAAAAACCTGAATTATCACCACATTTTGTAAGAATTTTTTTTTTTTAAGAGAAAAATACTACTTAAAAATAAATCCAAGTAACTCACATCAGAACAACTGAAAGGCTTGTGGAAACTCTTTGAAACTGGAGAAGACTGGGAAAGCTCCTGTCCTGTTGTGTCGAATACACAAATGTTGATAATGTAGGAATGTAAAATTGTTTGTCACAGAATATTCATTAAGCAAACCTGTGCAATAAAGACTATATTCCTCTTTAATCTATGTGCTTTACACGGGAAGTTAGTGAAGGGATGGAAAATATCAAGCCTTTATTAGAAATGATTTGGTTAATTACGTTTACCTTGTACTGAGACTTGCAGTTTTTGTTCCAGTAGGTGACTCCAATCCTTCCCCTGGCTTTGAGGATTTCTCTCTGTTCATTTGCTGCAGTATTGAGTTCAATTCACTAATAACATTAGCCTTTGGGCCTGAGAGAATTGGGCTTTTCACCTCCGTCATGTCACCCCATAGCTTAGATGTCCTTTGGGGAACAACTTTAGCCATATTGGGCTGTGCACTGATCGGAGGGGGGGGCGGAGCGGGAGGAGGGATAACAAAGCTGTCTACAGTTTCTTCAATTAGCGTATCCTTGTAAAGTGCATTGCTTTTGTTGATTATGGGCTTCATTTTTGGCTTAGGAGGTACTGGGGGTTTGTCCACCAGAAATGTTTGCCCATCTGCATAGACTGTACAAGTATCCACGTTCTCCCCACCTTCCGAGGATAAGGTAGAGATGCTGGACACTGTTGAGATAGTGCTGGTTGTCTCTAAGTGATGGTCACTACTACTCCGACTGTCTACCTCCTCAATCCCAGAGTCAGTGACGTTATCAAAGCTGTCAGGGGGTGGCAGAAAGGAGGCAGGCAAACAGTTTGAAAGAGCCACTTGCTTTTTATTGTCTATGGAATTTGTTGCCTGGCTGGGGGCAAATGGCGCAGGTGAAGGTGTGCCATTCTTTCTTTGCGCAACCAACTCTGTTAGAGCCGAACCGGGAGCCGCGCGGTCGTCGGGGATATCAAAGCTGTTGGCAAACTCTAAGGGGGGTGGTAGTGGCTCAGTGAACATAAACTCTTCATCGATATCAATGGAAGCTAAGGGTGGCGGAGGGATGCGGAATGGCAGGATGACGGGGTCGTCCACAGAGCTCGCTGCTACGATGGTTTTGCAGGGAGAGGCCGGTGGCTCAGGCTCAGCAGGCACAGTCAGCTCTCCTTCTGCTTCCTCGCTCCCCTCTGGCCTCTCTGGTGGGGAGCTTTCAGGGTTGGATTCCACTTCAGTGCTCTTTTCCTCTTCATCTTCAGGCGCATCTTCTGACTTCACTGTTTCCACGGTATGAACCATTAACAAGCCAGCTGACTTCTGCTGCGAAGTATCCACAATGTTTATCAACATGTTCTTCTTCTCCTCGGCTTTCTTCTCTTTTCCTGCATCTGTTTCATACTTGTTCTCGGTCTCCTGCCGTCTCAATGGGCCACGAGTGTTTTGCCTAGTGACAGGAGCAGTAACGGGAAAAGTCGTTTCCATATTGGGTCTCAGCTTTGTATCGATGTAAAGTGGTTTATTAAGGTCAGCTTTAACAGTGTCTCCTTTGCCTGGAATCTGCTGCGTTTGTTCTTTCATGGCTCTGTCCCTGGCAGAGAGAGCGAGGGCTAGTGGTGAGTTTGGATCTAATAGCTTTCCTGTGACTGGGTGAACATAATTATCTGAGCTGGATGCATTCGTGGACTTAGCTGCCACTGTACTGTTTTCAGTACCTTTCGTTTTGGACTGAGCATTTAATGTCCTTGAATCACTTTGATTGCCTGGTTCACTGCTATTAAAAAGAGTTTCAGGCTCTCTGGGTGCGGGAATCGGAGACGGCGACATAAGCTGTCTAAAACCATCTTCACTACTAAACATTGCTTCGTCAGTAAATTTAGATTGCCTCATACGTGGTGTTGGTGGTGTTAGTCCAACATCCTCGTCTCCCAGGTCTGTGGAGAGGAAAGCTGGAGAATTACGCCTTGCTTCCAGCCTCTTCTCCCTGTCCCTCACTGCTCCAGCGATGGCTGCTGCAAACGGACTGCTGACACCTAAGCTGTCGTCGGGTCGGAGTTGCCCAGGTTGCTCTGAAGACTGAGGATCAATTTCCATGCTGCTCCCTTGGCTGCTTTTCCCACTGCTGCTGGTGGATGGCTCTTTCACAATAATTGTCGGGATTGGAATGGAGCAGGTCTTTTCTGGACTGTCTTCAACATTGGATTGTTTCACCAGCATCCCCTTCCGCCTCGCTGGTTTGGCCGGCACGTAAACTGCTTTGCTTGCAATCTTCCCAACCTCAGAATAGGGATTTTCTGGCATCTGACCCCTCTTGTTCCTGAAATTTGCCTGAGCTGCAGCACTCCGATTGTACAGGTCTTCAGAGTCCAGAGAGTATCGGTCCAGTTCTCGTCTGAAATAGATCCCCTTGTCCCTTATCATCGTTCCCACACTCTCAGGCCTAACCAAAGTAATTTTTGCACCTGAATTCTGATTAAATGGAGGTTTAATAGTTCCATAGCTCCTTGATGTCAGGGATTTGGGAGAGTTGTACAGAGAGGGAGAAGGTGGTGGCGGTGAAGGAGGTAAGGACTGTGGTGGTGGTGGGATATCTTCAGAGGTGTCAGGCATTGAAAGACTTCTGGTAAACTTCAGCATAGGAGGAGCCAAAAACTGCCGTTCTTCCTCTGTTATTCCTACAAATCAGAAAGTATATTTAAAACACAGTCTTTCACTGGCATCCCTCATACTGTATTATTTGTGTATCTTAACCTAAAGTGCCAGGGTGCATTTCACATGACATGAGGCATATGCAAAGTTATGAAAGAGGGCTTTTGGTTGATTCCTAACCATAAGCATTCTTTCTTGTTGAACTTCCAGAGACCTGGCTGCCTGAATTAAAAAGGATGCTACAGAATTTTAATTAAACTGATCACTGATGTGTAGGCAAATGTTTTGGGTTTATGTATCATCAAGGTAGCTGTAGAGAAGCACATTTGCTTTGAGAATTATTGAACAGGGAAGACATTCTGTGCAGAAGAGTAGCTTATGCCTTGCTCTAGCCCTCTATAAATGCACGTAATAATGCAACTTAGAAACTAATGCATTTTTAAGAGGCATTTGAAACTTAGCAAAGGGACAGCGAAGATTCTATTGGGGAAAAAAAAATCATAGTGCTTCATTTGGAAAGATGACATTATATTATTACAAATATGGCTTTTAACATGAATAAATTGGATAATATTGGGATAATTTAGATGCTAATTTTACATCAGCATAATGTGTTTCTAAATTGAAAAATATCACTACTAAGATTACTACTGAGAGCAAAACAAGCCCAAATTTGGCTTTTTTTCTGTTGTAAAATCATCTATTATCATAATTCAGAATGAAAAAGAGTTGAATTTTGTTCCATTTGATCAATAGGGATTGCTCTGTAAGCTACACAACATTCCAGTGCTTCTGCCTCAATAACAAAATAAAAAGAAATATCATTCTGCCTTGGGTAATGTACTGCTAAGGGCTTGTACTGATAATTTGTTCCCTTCTCACTGCCTTTCCTTGTTAGAGGGAACCTTCTAAAGAAAGGAATTAAATTAAAGTTCCATAATACTTGCCTACTGCCATCAAAGCAGACTGTGGAAATGTCATCTTACACATAAACTTCTTTTCTCATGAACTTTGCATAAATATTAAACAGTCATTCACTGAGGTAAAGATGCTTTAAGAAAGAAGCAGTGTTACTAAAAGTATGTGATTAATGCACAAGCAAACTATACATGAGAAGCATTTTACCTATAGATTTTTGTCTTCTCATTGTACCCCGAGGTATACCCAGAAAAGGACCTTGAGGACTCCCTGGTACAGTGGGCGTCATCACAGCAATACCCTGTCTTTCATACATGGACTACAAAAAAGCAAACAAAAAACCCCACAAGCATTAAGGCATGCAAGTCTTTCTCTCACATGTAAATAACTCTGCTGTCATATCTGCTAAACCCCTGTCCCTTTTACTTGGAATTCTTATGGAAAATAACAAACTTGGTAGTATTTTGGAGAGGAGGTGAAGAGAAAGGGAAGGCTGGGCTTCAGTTCCATGTTCATAACATGAAAATGGCTATAAGTGGAGTTAGTTGAAATTAATTACAAGGCAGTATGTTAAGATTCCAGCAGTAAGTAATTTTGTGTGCAGTAAGAATGAAACACGAAGCATGAGCAATTACATTTCGTGTCATTCACTTCCAAAAACCCGCAGAGGTGTCAGCACTCACTCTGCACCAAGCTGTATGCTCTCATTGCTTCTGAAGAACAGACCTATCCCTGGAGTCTTGCATAGACTCAAGGTGTCTTGCACAAGGTTAAAGTGGCAGTGAGCATCTCGGCTAGGAACTGAGGAACGCCACCTGAATCCCAATGCACTCCATTGTCCCTCCTTCTTGTGGATCATCACGAATCTACTTGTTTTCTGCCTCTTAGAACAGCCTTAATTTCCTTCCAGCCCAAGCTGCTGAGGACAGCAGAGTGCTCGTTGTACCAGATCTGATGTTCTTTTGGAGGCGTGGGTAATGGAAAAGTACATCTAACATGCAATGAAACCAATTATTTTTCACATGCAAAGTTCTGTAAGAGCAAACTGTGCAACTGAACAATCCAATTTCAGAGTTCTGGAGTTTAAGTTTTTAATACATGCTACAGTATTAATGTCAATTCTTCCCTTACAAATAATCCTGTGTTATTTAATCAAGGTATTATATATGCCATTATTAATAATAAAAACTTGCAGTAGGAGAAACGTTCATCTTAGTGAAAACTGTGTGGCTGCTAACTAACTCTGGTGCTGAAACTGAAATAGCATACCTTGACTTTGAGCAAAGTTTTTTAGCTTGGGGTTAGCGTTGTATTGACACCTTCAAGTTCAGAACTTACGGGGTCTCATTAGTTCAGATTACAGGCAGAGTAAGTTCACATCTGTATGAATAACACTGAGGTAGCAATGCTGTTGATGGGACAGTCTCAGAATAAGTATAAGGATGTCATGAGAAAAGTTTTACAAGGGGAACACAGGCTTCTGTTAAAAAACTATTACTAAAAATGCAGAGTAGACCGTGCCTTAAAGTTACAAGATAATAAAAGCAAAATGAGTATATAAAGCAATGTTTGCAAATTCAGTTCTGTTGTATGCCTTTGCACACTGCCAAAAGACCCCCTCCAACCAGTTTCAGAAATGAAAGCAGTACTTCATAGCTACCACTCACATTCATATCTGTAGCTGAGGGAAAACATCTACTAGAAGGCCGCTGTTTAATAGTTGCCACTCTTGAGTCCACAGTTGCATTGTCTGCAATTCTTGATGGCTTGGAAACTGGTACTATTTCATCCACCTTATCTGTAATATAAAAGTATTCAGTAAAATAAATATAATTTGTCCCAAAACTGAAAATTTAAGTATTGCAAGGTCAAAGGAAGAGATTTACTTTTCAAAAAATGCAAAGAAAAAGGTTTTTTTTGGCATTTTAACAAGGCAACGCTTGAGCATCAGAAGTCGTGCAAGCCGAGCACTGTTTATTGCTGCTACAGAACATGCATGCTTTAGTTTTAAGCCTGCATGCATTCAATGTTTACTTAGTGTGACTCGAAAAACAATCCTCTTCTTCAAACCTTCAAAATGTGAAGGGAGAATATCTATATAGAAATGGAAAGAAGACCTTTAGAAATAATGAATCTGTACAGCACTGTTTCAAATAGAGATAAGCAGACTGTACTTAGCCATCAGAAGTTCAGCGATATTTTGGACAATAACAAGTACTCCAGAAGTGCTCTTTTATGCCTGTTCTCCTTAAGTAATCACATCCTAATTTCTTCACACTCTTGGATTATCAGATTAGCATTAGTAACTGCATCATTTAAATGGAACTTCTATATGTATTTTGTATTTTAATAACTGGACGGTCTGGGAAAGTATTTAGTTGTGGTCGGAAACAGACCAAACAGGCAAAGTCCAAATCTGAATGAGAAATTTTAACATTTGGATTTGGGATTCTGATCTATTATATGATGTGATGATAAAATATAGGGAAACTTTAATCAAGATCTTCCAAAGCTGAGTGTTAGTTTTATCCCCGTCTCCAACTTTGGTCACAAACAAGGTTCATCAGCATTTAATACATAATGTTACTGCCTCAGACTGAAGACCTCAAAGTACCATCTTATCAGCTAATTATAGCCTGACAGCTCCTTTACTGCCACTTCTACTACTATGAAACTAAGGCATGGTGAAATTAAATGACTAGCCTAAGCGAGCAGAATAGTTCAATGTTTGAATCTGTGCTAAAATCCAAACTTGAATCATATTAGCATGTTTCCTTACTATGCCTTCCATTGCATTTGCTTTCCTATATCACATTAATTTAGTGCCTTTTCCTTTGAAGTTTCACCAAAGTAAGGATTAGTTATACAGCCTGTGGTATTTATGTGAGTGAAATACCTTAGCCTGGCTCCTAGGCTTCCACAGTGCGAGTCTGAGCAATGTCACTTTTCAGCAATTAGATCCATCTCCCAAAAATTTGCTTCAGCTAACAAGGATAGCTACTTCATGAGGCTACTACAGACATAAACAACACAGGGCTGTGGCGGTCTAGAGATGGTGTTACTATGCCAAGCATCAGATTTAGGGAGTTAAGTTTTACCTCTCACTGGAAAGCAGCACACTCAGGGCCCTGGATATGAATATGGATGGGAATAAGGCAGGAGGAAAAGAGCTTTTGATCCCTCTACACAGTAGATCTGGCTGATGCAAGGATGATATTTTAAATGGGAGAAGAAGAGAGGGAAGACTTTTAGCCTTCTGGTTAGGAAGAAGGTTGTCCTAGAAGTGGATACTTCAGTGTCACAGAGGGCCAGGGAGCAGGCAGGAAAGGAAAGGTTGAGCAGAACCAGTAAGCTGAACACTGCTGAAAACTGTCTCACAAGAGTAGTGTTGCTGTTGCTTTTCAATTGAAGTTAGCATTCAATTCTTTTCATTGGTCTGCTTTATTTTTGTGGGGTTTAAACCATCCAGTGGAAGGAGAAAAGGAAAAAAATTCTTAAAATCATCATGTATTCAAAAACTTCAAGTCACATTTCATAAGACTTTGTAATACAAACTGTGAACTTCTGAAAGAAAAATATCTGCACTTCTGCTCAGCAAAAGGCATCAGAAAGCAATGGTGTAACCATGGACATTTGACCTCTACAGCAAAAATATGGCTAGACTGTAAAATCATCCTCAGGGGACCTATCACCAAGAGCTTCATCTGGGCAGAGATTTCCTGTTAAGTCTCTCCCACCCTTTTTAGTATCCCAGAAGCCGAACAACTGGTCTTTGGGATACAGAAAGAAGGAAGTTTTGGAAACTGAAGCAGTAGGTACTATAAATCTGTAAACAAGAAATATAAGCATACCATGTAAGAACTGATCCCCTTTATTTTTAACAGACACATGTAACCATATACCCATTCAGACAACAAAAAGCTACAGGGAAACTTCCCCTGTTTCAGTGAAAGAGTGATGAGGCTATGACAGACACTTGAAAAGCATGAAAATATTTGTTTGGGGATGAAACATACATACCCTCCAACTGCACTGATTTTGCTAGACAATACTACAAGTCAGATCCTAATCTTGGATCTGACCAAAATATCAGTTGGTACCAATTCTTAATACCATCTACTGTTCCCAGCTGGAAAAATCTTTGGTTTGTGTAGGTTTATTGCAGGTTTCTTGTCTGTAGACAGGTTCTTAGTCCTTCTCACCCTATAGCTGCTCCCATTCAAGTGGTGCTTTGTGCCTTGCCGAGTCTAGCTACAGCATTTAGACATGGGAGAGGAGAGCAGGTTAAAGCTTAAGCTGCTCTGCAAGGAGCTCTTTAGGGGTTCCTCATGTAGTATTTCCATCGGCAGTGCTGCTACGTCTGCGCAGCTTCTTCTTTAGCTCTACTGCCCTTTGATCAGAAAGCAAAGGTGAAGGTTGTCATTTTGAAACTACCACCAAAAAATCGAAGCTACAGAAGCAGCCAGCACGTGGAACGAGCTTTATTCTAAATGGCAGCAGCTACATGGCGGGTCCTGCAGGATACGTCAGAATCTCAGCATCAGGCCGCAACTGCACCACACTTCTGAAGTGAAAGCACTATGTAAAATAAAAACATTCTCACTGCATTATCAAACGTGCTCATTAGGCCAAGAAAATGAATTGGCTGAATCGTATTTAGCTTCATTCCAACTCATCCCAAAGAAATAAGACGGAAGCAGATTGGGATAAACTTTCACTTGCCTTTGCCTTTCACTGTTCATATCCACAGTACCAGTGTGCGAACCATGTATGCACCAGAAACAGACATTCAGAAGGCAGCACGTACTGGAATAATTTGTCAGGCTTACTAATCAGCTTCTCTCCCAACCTCCTTGTGATCTTCAATACTCTGCAGCATGCATTCCTTGTACCAATGAGAGGGGAATCTTACAGGCTTGCGTTGGAAATTCTCTTTATGAACAGTTTTAACTAAAGAGACATAAAAAAGCCACAGAACGGGTGCAAAAATTTACACCTGGTGTGAAGTGTGTGGACCACGTGGCCAAAGAAGCATGCTTCCAATGGTGTTCTTCAAAGGAACGCAGCTGGATGTAGGTGGAAGGGAAGAAAATATTCCTTAGTGGAAAAAGCCTACGCTGGAGGTTGGCCATGCCAGCTGCATTGCATGGTTAAACCAGTCATTTAGCAAAGTAGAGCCACAAGCACACACTCACACACACTTCTAAGGGAGCAATTTGTGGCTGGCTGGTAGGAGAACCAAATATCAGCTGCTTTAACTTCAGTCTCGCAGAAAGACAGGGAAGAAGAGTCTGTGGCTCACTGGACAGAGAGCGCAGCTCAGTTGTCATCACAGAAGAGGATTTTTAGGCCTACAGTTATTCTCTAGTATTTGCCAGTGGAGGAATTCATCACTGCTTTGCCATATAAACTCTTCTGAACCTTTACGAGAAGTTACAACGGCATGTTGAGAGTCAAACACAGGAGCCATGCTACACCTGTGATCATCAGTTACCACTGCTCAAGGGGCTCCTGGTAACAGCATCCTTTCGGAGAACTGTCAGGGATACCACATGTATAAGCCAGTCTGATGCCTCTGCATGCATATAGCAATTTGAGTGCCACTAGATTAAATTCCCCCGAGAGAGGCAGCACCAACAGATATAAAATAATTTATTGCAAACTGCATTTCCATCTGCCCTGTGGGTTACCAATTGGACCCGTGCTCTGCTCAGGGTGCCAGCCCTCAGGAAATTACATGGCCTAAAGGCACAGAAAGAAGTTGCATTTTATCAACATGTAGGTCGTCTCTGATGAAAAGCTCTTAATCACAGACAGAGTAGCACAGTACCCAACAGCACGTCCTGACTTTTACATTCTCAAGAGGTCTGGCTGCTAGGCAAGTTGCTTTTACTTTTTTGTTCTTTTTCTTTAATAATTAATATCTGTGATAATTACAGGGGACAGTCTCCTCCTCATAGGTTTGTTGCAGGAGATGGTTCTTATCCCCACAGAACTCATTGCTTAAGTGACTCCTGTTTCAAATCCCCAGACTCTCTCAGAGGAAAAATTATAATGCTGCCCATCAAACCACCAGATCCATCATAAGAGGAACTTTGAAAATGAGAGTCAGGTGCCTAGATAGATCTGGTGGCACATCACTATAACAGGCCCCAAAAGATAAATATGAGGTATGATCCTGGCAACATTACTTATTGTACGACATAGCCAAGACATGTGGATTAGCTCCACCGAGGGTCTTAGAAAGAGAGTTTGTGAGACCCACAGAGGATAAGAATGATCATGATCCGGTACAGGCTAACCCCAACACCTCAGGCTGGCATGCCAGTAACACCAGGCAAAGACTGATCGAACACAGTTTTGGAGGCGAGTATTGCCAAGACCTGTATACTTACCACCAAGTCCAGAACGCTTGCTCAGAGGGGATGGGATAATGGAGAAAGAAAACTCAAAAAACAGCTGCCTCAAGAAATGACTTGTATTTGTAAGAAAAGCAATGAATGCCTGGCACAGAGTAAAAAAATGCTCGTATGAAGTTAAAGTGAAAGAACAGAGGCAAATGTTCTTCAAATACCAGCAGCACACATCGTTAACAGTGCAAATATAAACTACAAAATGTTAAGACTAATCTAGTCAGCCAGAATACAATGTTAGCCAATGTAGGAAATGGTTGAATTCTGCCACTGATGGCCTTATGGCTAAGAATTAAAAGGACAGGCACATTAAAAAAACCCCTAAAAATCCTATGGTGTGGTTATTTTTTCTTCCCTCCCCCTTTTGCCTGGCGTGTAGGCATGG